CCCCCCCCCCCCCCCTTGCTATTCGCCGCGCGCCATTTGGATACACTATTGCGTATAAAAAATATTCACGATTTATCCGATTATTCATATTTTAAATTTTGAGTTTGACAAACGGATATCGTGGTACATTTCGCGTTTTGCTTTGTGGCATCTCTGGCACTTGTTCAATCGTATTTTACTTGCAATGTAGTTATTTTAAACGTAATTAATAATTATTCGCGTGGGATATTTTTGATATTCCAACATTATGTCTCAATTTTCATTATTCTTTTTAACGTTTCGTATTTAAATAAAGATTAATAATATTCTATACATAAATTTATACATATAAGATACATGCAAATTTTCTTAATATTGCGAAACAATTTGCGCTAAATACAGCCTTGACGAAAAGTATTAATATTCTCTGGTGAATAGTCTTTATTGTACGGTTTTTGCTTTATTTCTTAGATTTGTTACGCACACAACTCGTCTACAGTAAGAGCAAAAAGTATTCGTACAAGGAAATTTTTTATAAAAAAGTCTTATTTGTAAAAAACATACATAAATTATGAGAAATTACAAATTAACAAAAAACTAATAAGTTTTTATAGACTCCTTAAATTAAAACAATTTAGAATAAGCATAAAACATACAGTACAAGCAATAGGAGTCAACGCTGCAGGTTATCAATTAGCGCAATTCTTCTTCATGTTAAACCCATACAGCACAGAAGATTGACGCAATATTGCTGTAATGTTGCAATATTGCAGATTGCAATGTAACATTGCAGAAATAGTACAGAAATGTAAATTAACAATTTGCCTGCAAAATGTCAGTAATATGCCTGTAATATTCCACAAACATCACAAAACTGTAATTCTTTCATTGTTACAATAATAATAATATAAAAATATAAGTTTTTACAATATTTATGTAGTACAGTCTTTTAGTTTAACAGCCGTTTTTATGATATAATAATAATTAATATAATCCATTTTATATTTAAATATAAAATTTATTTATCTATTATTTGACGGCCATTTTATTAGCTATATAATGTATTCATTGTATAAAATTGTTAATTAATGTTTATTTACTATAAATAAGATTTTTTTTATAAAAAATTTCCTTGTATACTTTTTGCTCTCACTATATATATAGAATACAGGAATTACAAATCACTGTTTTTATTTCCATTAGTATCATATTTTTAACTTAGTACTTAGAATTCAACAAATCTCACATTGTATATTGCATTGTTAATTTAAATATACAATTTACAGCAATATCCACTTTTTTGCGGTGCTCTTGATGGAAATAAATCGTACTACCCAGACAGCACAGAAATATTTATGATAAATATTTATTAATATTCATTTTTTGAAATGTTATATAGATATTTCATACATATTTTATATAAAGCTTTATTCAAAATATTATTAAAATATAGACTAAGTATTTTATGCAATATTTATGATAAATATAAATAAATATTTCTAGTAAGTATTTTTTATTTGGATTATAATGTCTCATTAAATATTTTTATAGCATTTACTAAAACTATTCTAATAAGTATTTCATAATATTTATAATAAATATTTATGATCTGTGCAATCTAAAACCACAAAAATATTTACAAAATATTTAAAATAAATCTTATAAATTTTTCTAAATATTTTGTAAATATTTTGTAAATATTGTGTGCTGTTTGGGTAGTGCGGTCTGCCGAATTCGCTATAATAGAAATTTCAACGATTTCAGCGATTTATTTGCATCAAAACACCGAAAAAAAAAAATGGATATTCTGTAGTTTACATCCACTTCTTCAGAGGCCAGTAGTGTGCGGGGGCATTTTGTGATTACAAGAAAAGGCTCTCAAGTCTCACTCATGTTTTCTCTCAGGTTTATTTCTGATGGTGATAAATCGTGAAATCGATTAATAGAATAATATTTATTTATATATTTAAGGGTAGGAAACATTAACAATAATTATGTGATTGGCTAAAACATAAAAGAGAAATACAAAGAACAAGCAACTAAAACTGTTGGAAGATTTTAAACTTAAATAACCTACAAAACGATGTCTGCAGAAGAAAATTTTGAACAGGTGTTTACATTTATTATTTTTCTTACATAAATTTAAGTTTCATTATTATATTTATGAACATAAATAATATTAAATACATTATAAATTTATAGTATAAATAGAACCGAGTACATTGTGAATTTCCTATGAAAACACTTTACTTTAATGTACATTATATGTTTTTCCGAATATAGTTTATAGATGATTAATTAAAAGAAGTAAATATATTTTTCCAAAAACAAAAGTCCATTCCGGGAACTTTATAATTTTATACAATACAATAATAAGTTCTTGTAAATAATTGGAAATCATTTATTACAATTATTTTTCTCGCTATATACTTATACTTGGCTATGTTGACAGTTTGAGGATGAAGAGACAGAAATTCCAATCGGCGGGACTCTGCCTGGAGGAAGAAAACGGCTCTTCTCCAAGGAACTGCGCTGCATGATGTATGGCTTCGGCGACGATCAAAATCCTTATACAGAAAGTGTCGACCTGTTGGAGGATTTGGTTATCGAATTCATAACAGAGATGACACATCGAGCCATGGAGATTGGACGCACAGGACGAGTTCAAGTAGAAGATATTGTATTTTTAGGTGAGAGAATTTTATATTTAATTCAAATTAAAAAATATTCTTAATCGTTGTGATAAAGAAGGTCGGATGCAATCCCCAGCTTTGTCTGTTTTACAGAATTCCATGCACTGTTTAACAAAGAAGTTTCATGATATATATATATTGTTAACTTCTTTTTATCTATTTTATTATATTGATTAGATGAAATATGAACAAAATAGCATTCAAGGTTAGATTCAATCCGACTTTTTTGGATATCTTGAGAATTCACCTTATTATAAAAGGATTAAGTACCTAAATATCTAAATAAATATGTAAATTCTAAGCTTTCTGTTTCTTATAGAGGAGATATTTTTAATATATTATTTTTTCCAGTTTATAATTTATTAATTTGTTTATATTTGCAGTAAGAAAGGATTCCAGGAAATATGCCAGAGTGAAAGATCTTTTAACAATGAACGAGGAACTTAAGAAAGCAAGAAAGGCTTTTGATGAGGTTAAATATGCAGGTACTGTCAAAGATTAAACATACGATTGTAATGTTATATCCATCAACGAATGTAAAATCTGAATGCGTATAAGTTTGTATTAATCTACTTGAATCATTTGTTTAATTAAGAGAATCTTTCAAGTCAGCATGTTCAATTTGCAAGTAGTATTAATGCAGTCTGTTTGGTTATATAATTGCTCTGCATATACATCTCGAGCAAAGCAATTGTTTTTGATTAATTACATTTATTGCTGGGATAACGTCGCTTTAGTTTGCAATAACATTATATAATTGTTTGCAGGCAGACACTTTATTATTATCTTTTGTTACAGATAAATAGCAAAATTTTTTTATGTTCCTAAATATAAACTTTAGCCATACAAAAAAAGCAGTAGATAGAGTAAATTTTTCAATAAATAAATGATAAAATATTAAAATAATTTTACACTACTGCAAAATATATTAATTGATAAGAACATAATAAAAAGGAGAAAACATTATTTTCGAGAAATGCCTTTTTTATATTATACAATAAAAAAAGTTTTTTTTGTTACCTCTTCGGAAAATTTTATACATATGGTTTATTTATACATTAATACTTTTAATAAAATTACGTTATGTTTCGTAGAATAACATACACTGTACGTTTAATACAAATATAACTCTTCGTAAAATATATTTTCGTATCGTATTTTCATTTTTGCACAACAAAATGTTTATTTACTATTATTATCATTTAAATTACGGACTGTTTCATCCAAAGATTATGTTTTTATTTTAACTTTGTAACATGATTTTTTTTGCATGGTTTGGTATGATTCAGCATGTACAGCGTTTGCATGTAGTTTTTCTTGATTTATTTTTTATGTACCGTTATTAGTTACCTACCATTTTCAAATCAAGTGATTCTGCAATTATTTTACAACATCACGAACGGCCTGTTTTGCTGACAGAATAACATCATTGAGTCCCACACCTTGATAAGAAGAACCGCACAGTGCCAGGGGAATATGGTGCGCGGAAATATAATCGTGGATGCGTTTTACACGGGCGTTATGACCCACGACGTGCTGCGGAATACAATTCTTGAGAATGGCAACGTTGTATGCGATTGGTTCCTCTTCGATTTGTAAGATATTCTTGGTGTGATTAATCGCCGTCGTTAACAATTGTTCCTCCGATGGATTTGGCCCGAAATATTTCTCGAACCATGCACCTCCCATCATCACCGTCAATACCTAAATCATAGTCAAATTTTATACGTTAATTTATTATCATTAAAAAATATTTTTTTTACATGTTACATAATTTATAATTCTCACAGTGTTGTATACATAAAAATAAAAGTTATATTAGAAATGAAGATCGAATCGTACTGTGAGTGGATTAACTAAAAAATTAACAGCCATATAAAAATGAGCAAACAGTAAAATTATTTTGAGATATGCATACTGTGGAAGATCCAGGGAATACGCAGGAGTCAAAGATTACACCTAGCAGAGGCAGATTTTCTTTTGGCGGTACGAGGAAGCCGAATGCTTGCAAAGGTAATACATCTCCCTGGAATTCAAGATTAACTACTCCGACCGTCACGGTAGGTATCGCTTTCAATTCCGCCGACAGTCTAGGATGCTGTTCTTGCAACAGCTCGGCCAAGTCCTTTGCGCATAAGCTCGAAATAACGCGTGAACATTCCTGAAGATCGCCATTAACCGACAGTTCTACGCGATCTGATTGAAATGTAAGTTTTTCACACTTTTTCTCAGTCTGTACCATCACTCCTCGACTCTTTACATAATCGGCTAGTGCCGAAGGTAATTGCTCGAGTCCTCCTTGTAAGCCCCACACCAGCCAATGTTCGTTTTGCGCTCTCTTCGCCAAGGTCGATGGTCTTGCTGCAAACTTTTCCACGTTATCCTTCGCTGTATTATCCTTGTCTTTCGATTTTGAAAAAAACTTTTTCAATTGTTTTACTACCAAGCCTTTCACTATAGAGCCATGTTTCTGTTCCGCCTCAAACAGTGATTTGAGTAGAAAATTTACGCTTATCTCGCGTGCGTCTCCTGCACAGATCCCACAGATCATAGGGCTGATCCAGTTATCCGCAATATCCTGGCCCAATCTCCTCTGAACGAAGCTGTGAATGCTCTCGTCCTCCTTAGATACTTTAGGAGCTCTCAAGTCCGTCCATATGCGGTTTATCAAGGGACGATCTAGTAGCGAGGATGTCTTGAAGATACCTTTTAAGGTATTTGGTAGAATATGCAATGCCTTATCCATGTAAATCAATCGATTCTTTGCCACAGAATGATTCAGATCGGCATGAATTAATTTGTCATTTAATTGCAGATCCTCTACCAAATTGAGGGTGTTTTTTCCAGGTAAACCAAATGCTCTTATAGTTCTTGGTCCTTGCTCGAAAATCGCTCCACTTGGTGAGCCTCTGCTACGTATCCACCCACCCAAGCGACTAGAAGCCTCCAGTAAAATGATAGACGAAAGTCTTGCATCGTTAACAGCATAATATGCTGCTGACAGCCCTGATATGCCACCTCCTAGTATTACTGTCATTTCAATGTTTCAATAGTCCAATTACTCCGATAAATCTTAATACAGTAATTAGCAGTCAGCACAACATTAGGTGATTAACAAATAGAATTTTACGGTATTTTATTATACAAATACATATTTATATGTAAATATTTATTATTGTAAAAAATAAGAAACAACTTTGTTTAAGTAAAGTAAACTCGTGCTAAATCATCTGTAGAATAATGATTTATTTAGTGCGTCTTGTAGAAGTGTTACTGAAAAAATAACAGAAACAACGAGAGAGAGAGAGAGAGAGAGAAAATAATTTTTATAAGGTTTTTAAAAAGGCGCTTTAGAGATAATAACTAAGGTTATGTTTAACAGGCAGAAACACGTGCGAAATGTGAGATCGCTCCTTTTAATTTATTATTGTGCTTATCTTTTTGCTTCGAATTTTCTATTTTCGCTCTCTTGGAATTAAATTTCTAAATGAAATACAATTGTTTCCTCTCTCAAATAAAACATTTTATAAAAAATCACAGCCACGGTACTTTTAAGACTTGTGTGACTGCCAGTCACTCTGCACTCTGCAGCGCATTTGATTCATCTGCTATCGAATATTTCCAGATACAAATTTTATTTATTTGTGCATCATGTCTCGCAGGTGCGTGACATTCCGATTAATTAGAAAAATAAGAGTGAAAAATATTGAAAGAAATATCAGTTTATCAAAAAATGTAATAGAATATCTATCCTTTGTGAGGGGAAAAACCGTATTATTAATAAACTCATACAAGTTTATTAAGTTTTGTGCTAAATAATCGATTGATATATACAATCTATATAGATATTCTTCTTTGTTAATATAATTTTAAATAAAACGTTTTATATAAAATTATATGTTATTTAAATTATATATTTAAATAATACTTTTTCAATGTAGTAATTTGAGTAATAATTTAATATCCTATCTTTTCATATCTTTCGATATTTAAAAAAATTTCAAGAAAAATCCGGGGAAGATAAAGGTTCTTTCCCGGAGATTTTAATTTCCCGGGAAAATAACACTAATAACTAATTCCAATAATCAATTAATCACGACGCACGAGTTGTACCTAGACGCGCAAAGTCACACAACGTCGGTGGACGTCGTGGACGTCGGCACGCACCCGTACGAGCGGGGATTGGTGGTCCCTGGAATTGACCATTGACTGACGTCGCCGCGTCGCCCGTTTCACGAGATGTTGCAACAGTAGTGTGAACAAACGTGAACGAACCAACAAACGTCAGCCAGCAAAGCAAACTCTGCACTCTATAGTGTGCATGGAGTGTGACAAGTGCGAGAATTGCTGTCTACACTCTACGAATCATTCCTCGCAAATCGACCTCGTTTTCTCGGAATCTTGCCGACGCTTCCCGCGCGCCGACCTTTAACTGGCCCTGAAGTCGAGTCGAGCCGAATTGCTCCGAGTATCCTCGTCGCGTGTTCTCCGAGGACACAGTGTACACGGTACTCTCGTTGATTCTCGTGATTTGATCGAGTTGGTCGACAAAAAGAATAAGAACGGAGACGACGAGGACAAGGACGAGAGGTGCGAAATGCACCGGCGTTAATCGACGGAAAGGTCGCGTTTTGGGTCGATGAGACCGAACGACGGGAAAGGGTAGCAGAATCAGGCACGTCGGTATGCAGAACAGCGACAGCGAGAAGACGCACACCGCCACGGAGCGCGACGACGAGGCGTCGAATAGCGACGGCGCCGCCGAGGAAGCCGTCGGAGATCGCGACGATGAGGCGCCGAGTCACGACGGCGCTGAGGAGACCTCCGCGGATCACGAGAGCGACGATCCGAATCGTGGCGAGGGCACCGTCGCGGAACCCACCGTCGACGACGAGGACCCGAATCGCGACACCGAACAAGTCGCTGACGTTACCGGCGCGGATCGCGATGATAGGGAGCGCAAGGATACGCGGAAGCCCGTGTCGAAGAAGGGAGACTGTGTTTGGACCATGTATCTCCCGTCCACCTCGGGGAAGGAGACGCTGGCCGTTTCAAACAATAATTACGGCTGCGAACACTACAAGCGAAAATCCAAATTCGTGGTAAGTTCGAGGATGATCTATAATGTTTCGTGATATCTTCGAGTAGATCATCAGGTGTTTATTTATAAAATCTAATAATTTAGCTCTTGTTAAATGTTAAAGAAATAGTCTTATATTGAATTTTACTCGCACTATCCTGGATTAGTAGACCTTTAAAAAAAAGGCACTTTATATAAAATATCACATTTGTACATCCAAATGTTGCGTCATAATATAATCAACTTTGACAATGAAACATAATACATGTATATTCTGTTAAATCATGTAATAATATCATTACTGGATGTCTAATTGTTTAAAATATTTACATGCTCTTATATATAACTTTGCGAAAAACTAATAATTTAGCTTGATAAATGTTTAAGAAATACACTGCCGGAAATTGAAATCCCAACACCATGAAGGAGTTGTGCTAGATGAATGAAAGTTACACAGAATGTTTGTTTACATGAGTTATTATATTGATATCTATTACAAGTGGAATGCCATTCCACAAGATGACATCCGACACCTCTACGATCGAATGCATGCACGTTTAGAGGCCTGCATTCAACATAGAGGTGACTACATGGGTATTAAGTCGGAATATACTTAGATCCAGTTTCACAACTGACGGTTAACTCTTAACCGAAGTTCAACTTATTCATTATCTCTTTTCAATTCTAGAATTGGAAAAAGATGAGAAATAAGTTGAACCTCGGTTAAGAGTTAACCGTGAGTGGTGAAACTGAGCCTTAATGTTTATATGGTGTTACACTCGTATCCTACAAATTGTGACCTTGTAATAGATATCAATAAAATAACTCATGTGAACAAACATTCTGTGTAACTTTCATTCATCTAGCACAACTCCTTCATGGTGTTGGGATTTCAATTTCCGGCAATGTAGTTTTATGGTGAATTTGTATCACTTGCATTATAATAGATTAGTACATATTAAAAAGGCTGCTCTATATAAAGTATCTATATATAGTGACATAATAACAATCAACTTCGACAATGAAATAATACATGTATATATACATGTTAAATAATGTAATCAATACTATTATTGAGAATTCGTTTAAAATATTTATATATACTTTTATATTTAACTTTACTAATTTCATGTATAACAACATTTATACACTAATCTAATGTAATGCAAGTGACCGAATTTGCTACTAAAAAGTCTAAAATTGGTTTTTATTGTGTATAGGATATAAAGCATTTCACTATAATTTTTTAAGAAAAGAATATTCTAATTTAAATGTCACTTAAATAGAGAGAATTCAAATGTTGAGTAATGTCTATTTTGATTTATGATTATTAACGATTAATCTTAAGAATCTTATCTTTTTATTTCCTTTTATATATATAAATTCTTATATGAATAATGAGTGTAATAATAATGAAAAATGTATATTTTGTTTCTTAATGAATTGGTTTTCTTTTCATATTTAATCTGTTACAGACTCCATGCTGCAATAAGGTGTATACCTGTCGGTTTTGTCACGACGAGCAAGAGGCACACACAGTGAATAGGAAAGAAGTTACAGAATTAATATGCGTTCTTTGCGATACTCGTCAACCTGTTCAAGCTACTTGTCAGAATTGTCATTGTCAATTTGGCAAATACACATGCTTAGAATGCAATCTTTTTGATGACGAGGATAAGAATCAGTATCATTGCGACGGATGCGGAATATGTAGAGTCGGTGGTCGTGACAAATTGTTTGCGTGATAAAAGTATTGTATATATTCTATTCGAAACAATCAAAACACGCAGAACAATAATTGAACGCTATTATTTATATTATATGCAGTTTATATTATATGCAGTTTGCAGTTATTATATAAACGTTAAATAAATTTTGTTTTGCAGTGCATAGAAAATGTATCCCATTCCAATTGTCCCGTGTGTCTGGAAGACATTCACACGAGTCGCATACCATGTCACATTCCCGATTGTGGACACCTGCTTCACCGTATGTGTTTTGAGGAATTATTAAACTCGGGACATTACGCTTGCCCGTCCTGTCAGGTGTCACTCTTAGACATGACGGATTTGTGGAAATATCTGGACGCGGAAGTGTCGCTGACACCAATGCCGGAGGAATATAACGACTGTAAAACCGATATCTTATGTAAAGACTGCCACGAGGTCAAATTTACTTCTTCATACATATATCCCAATTGCTGAGGCGTGGAAAATAATTAAGAGATATTAATGGCAAGATACCTGTTATTTTAGGAATCTACGGTAAAGTTTCACATCGTCGGATTGAAGTGCTTAAACTGTGGTAGCTACAATACCTGTAGGATAAAAGGTTCCCCTTGTTCAGGTGACGATCAATTGCTAATCGATTATTTTACACCCGTGGACGATTATGTGAATTTTCAATAATTTTACGCAGATCCCGATGCCCTGAATGAAGCAGCTGGTATTACAGAAGAGAAAGAGGGATCGTAAAACCAAAGTTCGGAATATTATCCGAAATTATCCAACGATCGTGGAAGGAATATACTATAGTAGTAATGATAGGAGAGTATTTGTATTTTAGAATTTTATCTTTATTTCATCTTTTTTGTAGCAAATTGCACTTTTTTTGCCTTCGTAGTACCTTTCGATCGAAAATAGTATTTTTTGTTTAACCGAAGTTAATATAGTAAAAATTAAATATCTGTTAAATGTGTGTGACCATTAATATTATCAAAACTAATACATAATATGCTTTCGATGAATGATTTTATGACACGCTATAGCACAATCACAGAGGTTCAGTATAATTTTGTTATAACATAATTATATTGGCAAAAATATTTCTACAAAATGGCTTGTTTATTAAATTACAACATCAACTGTTGTTTCCAACAATTGATGAAGCGATCAACATGAGAATATTTTGCAGATAATCCATTTTTGCGCACATTATGTTTACGAAGATGTCGATTTTTTATATTTTTATTGTTTTTATCTTATATAGACAGGATATTCCAGAATTATCGCGCAACATTTCAGGTATATTTGATAAATTCGTAGTCGAGTTTTGTAACAAAAATATGTTGATATATTTCATTTTGGTGTAATTTTTCAATTTCCAACAATAAATATTTTTGTAATTAAAGCTATACATTCCTTCTTGTAACTCAAAAGTAGCTGTGATTACTGCACATTCCTAGGAAAAAATTGAATCCAAATTGCTCCAAAATTATCGATGTAAATTCAGTGCGATAGATATTTGGATATTCTGCACATTTTCTACGTCTGGCCACATTTATTTTCAAAATAGCAACTGCATTAGTTAACTACTAATTATGCCTAAGAAAATAATTGTGAAATGGCACGTGTGTGTGTATATGTGTGTGTGTGTGTGTATGTGTTGAAAGATAAAAAAAATAATATGAAACATCTTCAAATTTTTCATATTAAGCAGTATAGCACGGTGTCACCCTATCGTGAGTAAAATTACATGCTCTACATATAACGTTGTTACACTAGTTTTTCATAAATCATATCTACAAAATCTATCATTAACAGTGAATAATAATTCATATATACCCAGCATCTTTGTCATATTAAAATATATGAACTGGCCTAATTGATTGTACTTTAACAACACGTTACACATAAGTCGACCATGTAGAAACAAGAATTAAGCCTGATAAATTTCCGTTCGTAAATCGGTTGGAAGTTTCCAGCTTTCCTTACACATTCTATTCTGTTTAGGAAAAGATCTCATTTAGTCGTAATCTAGTCGCAGAAGATTGAGCATATATTATTGCTCATATTATGATTTTTTTCGGTAAGGGTGAATGTTTTGTACAAATGGCTGCGTTTAAGAGAAAAAACAGTTTTGTAACTGTTGTAAAATTCTTTAGTATATTTGGTTTATATAATTTTATTCAAAATATATAGTATATGTAACGTATACTATATTATATCGAGTAAAATGTTCCTTGGAGAAGACGTAAAATAATTTAAAATATAGTCATAGATAGTGAAGAACTAAGCAAAACCAATCACATTAAAAAATTTTATAACAGTTGCAAAGCTGCTTTATCTGCAGTTATTGAATTCATTGGGTGGCACACACTACTGCAATAAAATATATCAATGTAGTGAATATAATTAGAGAAAAGTACTTTTCGTTGAATAATGCTAGGATATTACGTATGTATCAATGCATTTCGATGTGCATATATTGAATTCGCATTTCTCCCAAGAGAAGCATTTCTCTAGCAGCTAATATAATATTCACTTTTAATAAATCTATGTAATCTATTTTAGTGTAATTGTATACATATACAATATCTAGGTGGAATACTCGAACAATCATGGCATTAATTATGAATATGCTATCTTGTCATGTTTGATAAAAAATAATTTCTAATTACCAAATAGTTGCTGTCAAGTATAGCTCATACACTTTATGATCAACGGTCTAAAACATTCGGTAAGCATGACGGTTTTGTTTAAAGCTGAGATTTGATATAGTTTCGTGTAATTATTTCAAATCCTGAAAGTCAAATATCATTAAAGATGCAATTTTTCAAAATTTAAGCAAATCGATATCAGTAACTTCAACTTCATTCCATTTATCGCATTTTAGTGAATATTAGTAATATTTTAACGACATTGGCTGCGTTCAGCAGAACAACAGTTTTGCATCCGTTTTATGATTATCTGCTGAGATAGGACCATTCCTCTTGATCTAAAAGCATAACTCAATCAGCGCGAAGAAAACTTTCAACAATTGCAAAATAAACGTCCTACTGAACGCAGTCATTTTTAGTGATGTTTTAGTGATATTACAGTGATATTTTTAATAAATATTGAGCGGTCTTTAAAAATTTATAGGTTTTTTAAATATAAATGTTATAAAAATTAAACATACTTGGATGCAAAAGTATGAAATATTTTTTTATGCTGCTCGATATTATATTGTTATATTATGTTATATTGTTATAATTCCATACATTAGCAATTAATAATTGTCATATTCATTAATGTTTTTCATTTATTATACATATATATGTGTATGTGTACATATATATATATATATATATGTTTTTAGGAATGATATTAATGAATGATAATTATATTTAATTGTATAATATTGCTGTTCCATTGAAATAACTTTATTAATGTTAAATGTTTACCTGTTTAGGATCTATCAACAGGTTAAAGGCATCTTGCATTTGTGTCTAATCAGCATTAAAAAAACTTTGTGACACAGAACGATATACGTAGATTCTATTGTGATTATTATCACGATTTTATTATTCACTTGTAAATTAAATATGAATTACAAAGGCTCTTTGTACATAATGGTTGCAATAATGATTTTGTTTTATATTACGTATAATATACTACTGTGTATCAAATAAATCAGTTATAATTTTATTCTTTTAACTTTCCCATATAAAAGAGAGAGAAGAGAAAGAGAGGATGATAAGAAGTGGTACTTGTGTAAGAAAAACGCGTGTCTTAAGAAAAACATAAATAGTTTTTGTATATATCCGCGTTTATTCGCTCTTTCAGGTATCTGCATTCTCATAATGAAGAAATACTTTCAGGTATCTGCAAATCTCATAATGAAGAAATGGAAGCAGGATTGCTATTTTAAAGCGGATTTTGTTCTATGAAGGAATAATTTCCGTCTGCCAGATATCTCCCAGAACTCGCCTCTGGATGATAAATCAATGTCACGAAATAAATAACGATGTTTCATTATTGCCTAACGAGTTTAACTCATTTTCCCTCCGGTTTTGTAGACTGAAATCATTCTCTCACGGGACGGAGTTTGTAGGAAAAATTGTAAATAAAATTGCAAAATTATATATAGTATCCTACTTCTTATTATCCAATACGTGGACGCGAAAGATTTATTATTGTATTCGTGTTACACCTTGATGAAAACAGCGCGACAGAGTAAAATCAATAAAGTGCAACAACCCCATAATCTCAGATGGAAATTCGGCTGCACTGTGGCTTTCATATACGTTACGTGTAAGCGAATTCAACAAATTGCACTCGACGCGTCCAAAATTATCGACGGTATCTACAACGACGCATAACTTCGTACAACGACGAGAAATCATCTTAACCCTACAATGCGCACACGGGTTAAATTTGTATAGAATCTAATCTCTCTTTTGTCTTTTATACAGAACTAATTTATTAATTCACATTTTCAGTACTCTTTCGATAGTACCTATTCAGAAGTGGATCCAGGAATCCAACTTGAAAAAGAAAACTATAGCATATATAAAATTGGATATATATATATATATACATATATATATATATACATACATATATATACATATATGCACATATATACATATAAATATATGAGATGTATACGTATCTCAAGTGATATATTACATACGTATGCTATATATTTGTATGTACGTAATGGACATATGATTTATTAGCAGCTTATATTTATTTTTTACATATAAACTGTACTTATAAATATCTCCAAAAAGCAACCACAAAATATAGAACAATCTTACAAAGCGACATAATGTTTATATTTTGCAAATCGTGAAACAGCTACTTCTTCGCTCTACCTCATATGTTGTTATGTACATAATTTTTTCACAAGAAGAGGCAAAATGATTTACTTTTTCTAGCGCCCTCTAATTCCGAAAATAAATCGTGAATTCATTCAGTATACTTTTTTGTCGAAACGAATACGTGGTTGGAAACGCAAATTTTATTTTAAAAAAAGAATATTCGAGAGATAGAGAGGAAAGTATCCATTTCCATTAGATCCACACCTGATTCAGTCACCATCCAGAACCTGCCCGAAAGAATAATATTTATTTCCGTTATGTTTTCTTCAAAGTCCCTCTTTGTTACCCAGCGCAGTGTAGAGTTGATCCACGCACATCGAGGTCAACCGATCGAATTCGTCGCTTAATTTACCTCTCGAATTCATAGCGCGTGAAATAACCGATAGTGATCGTGCATTCCTGAAACGGAACGGCCTTACATCTTCATCTACGACTAGTTTAATGACAATTCTTCTTTTGTACCACAAAGTGCGACCGAGCGCCGGTATTCCACTTTTCACATTCCTTTTCCTTTTTTTTCTTCAGAAATTCAAAGAACGTGGGCGCAACGGCAGATATCCATGATTGTTTAGAAAGCGTCGAGCGGCGCGAGTCATGTCAAGCTGGTCCCGGGTACGACCACACGCCACCGTTATCCATTGTGCTTCCAACTGTGCCTACAAACAAGGGGAAAGAAAACTTTCAATAACTAATTTTAACACGCGCCAACAATGCACTTGTAATAACAATTTAACCACATTGTAATGTAAGACTTATTTGATTTTTAAGAGAATATTCTTCTTAACTGTGTAAGCACAATATCACAGATATAATACTTTTATAAATATAATACTTATTCGCTATTATGATATAAATATACAATATTAAATAGAATTATAATAATCTTAGTCAAATTAATTCTTCTAAATTAGGTCTTGAAACTTGATGAAATTAATGTGTTCGTAGGTATAAGAAATTATAAAAAAGACACAGTGTTAAATAAGAAACTCACCTTGGTGCGTTTTACCGGCCTGGAAGGCAGAGGGCTGAAGATACAATAAGGACTGTCGAATGCGTCAAACGTGATTGCTCTCTTAGCATTCGGCTTCCGTTGTTGTACGGACGTAAAGTCGTGAGGAGTCTGGAAAGGATAGACACACTAGCTACAGCCGGCAAATAAGAGATGTTCTTAGAAAAAATAGAATCAGCTGTACATTTCGAAAAGTGAATTCGAAGGTACGAGAGGGGAAAAACGACTTGAGATTGCAAGTAATTGATAAAGAGAGACAGATGAATCTTAAAGGAGACAGACCGAAATTTATATTTTTTGAGAATTAAAGAATTGTGATGACATTTTGTTGTATTCTCTTTTTATGTTCAACATCTTTTCTGGAGAAAGAGAAAGAAAGAGAAGATTACCCATAACTAGTGGAATGACTAGGCTCTTAGGTGAGGACTTAAAGGACGATTCTGGGCAAGGACTTTTGTTTGTATACTGCTTCCTATCTATGAGCTCAAGATTTCATCGGAATCGAACATCCTCTCAAATTATGAAATCATAATTTAAGAACCTCTCAGTTACTTTCACTTTTTTTTCTACTGAATTTTATATTACGAAGAAAACAGAATAGATTTATCTAAATTTTGTTTTGAAAAAAGAAAGATCTTAGGAGATTTCGAGGAAGAAGGGTAAGAAAAATTGTAATACTTTATTTCAATAAGAACAAATGTCAAAATAAAAAAAGAGACTAGGCCTTCACATTTTAGTGCCGTGCAACTAGAATTGTTCTATCCAGCATATATATCTTTGGATTGGGAAAAGATTGAGGTACTTTGGTACGCTAGGCCAGGCCTGTATAAGAAAAACGATTTCAGTTAGTGTATGCAATTATTAGTTAGTGTATGCAATTAACATGCGACAACTAAATATATCATCAAAAAAAGAAGAAAACAAGTACAAATAAATAATATAAATATTTACACAAATTATTCTATATATAAATATTAATATTAATAAAAATATTTAAAAACACTTTATGCTTGTGTATGGCTACATCTAGGAGTTGTTTTAAAGGACGAAGATTTGACATGGAATGGATGTGTTAACACAATTCAAAATGACCAAATTTATACAGGATCGATTGTATAATATTCCTTCCCATGCTAAAATGCCGCATATTTTGCAAGCAATGTTATTAATACATATATTAGTCATTCGCGATTTATTATTAGAATCCATTCTCAGCAAAATTAATAAGACTGAAGCAAACAAAAACGAAACAAGATCGGTCTCCTGCCGATATTTATATTTACAAGCTTACAACGAAATAATGAATAATTTAATTCTTCAAGTAAAAGTTGTAAGTGACCACAATTTTTGTAAGACCAACAACTGCATATATCTTAAAGGTATGTGCATAAATAAATTTCAATGATTTTCTAATCATTTATATTGGTCACGATGAGTAAAATAACGTTTTCTCTCATTTTATGATGTATAAATTAATCTTTATAGTTTTAAAATAATAAAATTAATATTAATAATTAAATAAATATAAATAATTAAAGGCCAAGGTCTCGTGGCATTGGTACAAGTTTCAATAAATAGATCGAATGTTAGTTTATGTATAGTATTATACCTAAAATTAACAAGAATGATAATCTTTGGATTGGGCAATATTAAGCGACAAAAGGAATAAGCAGTAGAAGAAAAAATACAGATTTATATCTTCTGCGCTAAATAGATTTTGTCTTCAAATAATGAAGAAGAAGCGTTAAATAAATGAGATGTATAAAGATACAGACAAAAATTTAAGTACAAAGACATATAGCATTGAAAGAAAAGTTAGAAGGCCGGCTAGCGTGTCTAAGGACGATTGGTACGAGAATAATACCAGGATAAGGCAGGCTGATTATGAATTTGATTTTGAGTACGTTGTTCTACCTTTGTGGGACTGGTTCCTGCCGTCAAAAAGCTATCTTCTAGCGCCATAGATGCAGGTGAGAACAATGTAGAAGCTTCCAAACTTTTACTCTATGATACAAAAAATAAATATATATTATCATCCACCTGTTTTAAATTTCTCGAGACTTTTAAGTGCAAGAAACATAACAATTACAGTATCATTAACTTGCCTATTGCAGATAAAGTTGTGATCGATGTGTATTTCTGGATTTATTTAATTAAAAGCATTTTGTAAAAGCTAATCATTTGTAGCATTTGTGTTCATTGAACGCAATGGTGATGCATAATTCTGTGATTGACTGATAATCGCAGGTTTGAATCCAACCATCAAAATTGTCAATATTATTTCAATGACAATGAGAAAATCTGACGCTAAATATTAGCATCAATATTTTAACGTTATAGATTTCCTTGCAGGAATAAATTTATAATATATTATTAATAATTTTGAAAGACAAGCTATGCATCAATGAACACAAAATTACAAGTAATTTGCCTCAAATAATTATCCGAGTAATAAGTAACATACTGGTGTTTCCACAAGGAAACTAATTTCGGAGTTGTCCTGAGATGCCCAAGCTTGAGAAAGGGCCTTCCTCGCACGTTTTCCTCCTGGTGCACTGTTTTCTTTACCGCGCCTTCGTATCATACTGTTGTAGCCCGAATCTTGGTCCTGAATCGTACTCGTTCCAGCCTCGTTCTCGGTCTCTTGCTTTATTATCTCGGTCAATGCATCTAGACGACTAGGAGTCGCGGGCAACTGTACCGCTCCGGTTCGTCGCTCGAGCTCAGCTAAGGCGTTTTTAAATGGGGTTGGTGTTCTTGGTGTGTTACCGTCTGAAAAAAATTCCAGTAGAAAGCGATCTTAAAAAAACCTTGTATTTATAAAAATATTGTACTTATAAGTGTTATCTGAGTAGAGATTTCGTGGGCTGTAAAAGATTATGAATTCGCCAATTCACGATTCATTTGAAACTCGTAGTGATATACAAAAAAATGCCATTGAAAATTTACCGTTTTGACTTCTTCGGAAACCAGTAGGCTGCGGAGTCGTGAGCGGGCCAGGACTGCTTCCTTTGGGTGTACTTGCGCGTGGCCACGTCTCCGACGGACTCAGACTGTTCAGGAATTGCGAAGGACTGAATGGAAGTTGCTTGATGGGAGTCGAAGGGGTGATGTTTCCTGTTTGCACCTGTTGGCTCGTTATGATGTAATTCGACTGATTTCCGCTGTCGGAAACGTCTATCCTCTGCAGCGAACTGTGCGCGTTTCTACGTCTACGTAATATAGGCGGAGGGCTACTCTTCTTCTCTACATGCTGCTCGGGTATATCCTCCAAGTCGGGCATCGGCATCAGTTTTATCTCCGAGCTCTTCGAACCAGATGTTTCGTTTTGTATTTGTTGCAAGTTGAAATATCTACGCAGAAAAAAGAAGAAAATCGAATGCTGCCCAGAGATATATATGATGTCACTCATTTCAAAGACGATATACTTAGATAATGACGAAACTGTCTCGGCTTTCGCTCGTGAAGATCCCCTCTTCAACGGAGACGCGCACTTTTCATTGCCATGTGTATGCCTGTTTAATTCCAGAGCATTCTGGTATTCCGCCGTAGCATGTTGTTCCCAACTTTTAATCCAACCCAGATGCTCGAGATCGAGACTCTGCGAGGAGTTACCCGCCGTTACTGTCGAACTAGTAGCCGAGGCAGTTTTCATCCGATTCTGATCATCTTCCAGAAGAAGCGTATCCTTTACAGTAGTAGCACTCTGTGTATTTTTTCTCTTGCCTCTGCCTAAATACAGTAAGTTGCGTTAATTTCTCGCCATGTTCTATCAAATCCAGCAGGCATTATAAACACAATCATTACATACAGTTCAATGACAAAGAACATATTTTATATTTATCACACAATAAAATTTATATCGTTATACTGCATCAAAATTATATTAGTGCATCAAAATTTACCATCGTAAACAATACCTTTGATCGCAATTCTTCCTTCTTCACCTTCATATTTCCTTCTCATTGTACTATTCCAATGATTTTTAATCGCATTGTCAGTTCTACCCGGTAAAAGCTTAGCGATTTTTGCCCATTGATTGCCGACTCTACGATGGGCATCAACGATTATTTTGTCTTCAACCTCTGTCCACGCAGTTTTCTTTATCTCCGGATTCAAGTGATTGTGCCATCGTTCTCGGCACTGTTTGCCAATCCGACCTTTAAGATGTCGCGCTATCACCGTCCACTTTTTCGGACCATATTTCCGTACAAGTTCTACTACTTTTTCATCTTCCTGTAAAACAGAAGATTTATAAAATATAACAAAAAAATATGTAGCGAGATGTATTTTAAGAAAATATTTTATAATAAGAAATTTGTATGGATTATCTGTCTTATATTTAATAACTCCTTTTAATATATAAATGCAACAAATTTCTTCAGTGCTAATAAAATATTATTCGATAATAATTCGATAATGAAGTAACTAAACAATCTAGTCAGCTTTTCAATGGCCAAAAAATAGTTTCAAGAAAAATGTTATGTCCTAAACATTTTGTCTGAATATAATATTATGAATAATCTGGTTTGTTATAGGATACTGCAAGTATAAGAGGATATCTTAAGCAGGTCTCAACTAAGGGATACCAGTGGGAAACGTCATAATGTGCACGTACGCGCACTCGATTCCTGGAGCCGCGTTACTTGCCCTTGGCTGTTGCCAAGTGCATTGGCACGGCGACGCAGCATCACTATGGTCAGAGCTTTTTCTTATTGCATACCCCACCGAGGCGAGTGGCAGACACGAATGCTGGGATTCTTGTGTCTGTATGCGGTTCGCCTCGTGTAGGTGGTATGTGCAGTGCCGTACAATGATACTATACTACCCATCGTATGAAATACTCGATACAATGTAATCGCTTCGCATTATCAATCGCAATACTTACAAAAGAACCCCAAAGAGTGACAAATTCTGAATTTAATAAAATTTTATACACTTAATTTATAAAAATAAATAAATTTAGAAAATATCAATACCAAATAAATAATTTTAAAAAATAAAATAAATGTAAAACAATTTTCAACTTTTTTCGTTATATCTCAAAATTCGAGATATTAAAAAATTGTCTCATATAAAAGTTTTATAATTAAATTACCTTTATTTATCTAGATCTATAATATTTTTAAAAAATAATTTTGAAAATACAAATTTTGAAAAAAATGATTTTTTAAAAATAGTATTGACATGAATAAACTGAGATAATTTGTTAATCATCTTAACAACACGAGAAACATTGAAACGTGAGAAGCATCCTCGGAAAACTTATATTTTTCTTCAAAACATAATGAGATTTTTAAGTGGGTACGTATAAGAGAATCCAAACTGAATGTAATTGGATTAATTGGATATACGCATACATTTCATATATTCATTGTAAAATCATTGGAGATCGATTGAATTTGGGAAAGATTTTCAGGATGATGAAGACGGGACGTTAGCAAGAACTGCCCACCTCCTTCGTCCATGGACCCTTCACCAGTTCCGGGTTCACGACCTTCGCCCATCTCTGTTGACATTGTACATCGCTCCTATCTGGAAACTGGCCGGCTATAATGTCCCATCGCAAAACCTGTTGTTCTGCGTTGCTTACTAGTTGTTTCAATAAAGCGTCCTGCAAAAGGAAAAGCAACGTGTAGGAAAGTGAAAATATTTCGTTCCACCTTGCCCAGAACGTTTTATTTGCGCGCTTTGAATACACGAAACGAGGAAGGACGGACGCATGAGATCGATCGATTCTCGTAGGCTTTCCCACGTGAAGCCGCGTAAGTGCACCCTATGTTCTATGGGGTAACCGAAGCATCTGCCTCCCGATACGGCGGCGCAACTCGCTGCAGAAAATACGAGGGGTGGACATTTTTTTCGGGGGGATCCGCATGTTCATTGTTTTCCCCCCATCCTTCTTCCCCTTAACTTGCTACATGGAAGCGATACGGTGTAACAATGTATACGCTTGAGGTATAAAAACGTACAATCAATATAAATTTAAAAGATCAGCCAAGAGCTTTTTCGGTCAAATAAAAAAAATTACAAAATATTAATTTTATTACGATTAATCTATTAAGTATTAAATATTACAAATTAAACATTAGAAATTCTGTAAAAATTTTCGAAAAAGATATCATTCCATTATGACAGAAGTAAGAACCAAAAACAAAATAAAATTGGAAAAATAAAATCATGATGATCGAATAATTACTAATGCCAGCCTTGTGCTCAAACAAGATATTGGCAATTTGAACATGAGCTTGCTATTTTCATCGGAGATGTATAACTGTTCTCATTATGATCCTCGATATTCACTACCCAGTTCAATAAGATACTATACAATCTCTTCATGTCCCTTAGTGCACCCATACTTGAAAAGTGCGTTACCTGACTTAAACTGAGTATTAACATCAACTGTGTCCTTTGTGACACAGAAAAAAAAAAGAAAACTGTATTGACTAAAACTAATTTGGTACTAAATAATTGAAAAAACATATGTGACAAATTTACTTCGTCTTTGGTCCATCGTCCTTTATTTATGTGTTTTCCTTGCCCATAATTTGTGACACTGGGAAGTTGATTTTGCGCTTGGCTTTGTACTTGACTGCCTTGGCTAACTGTACTGTACTCGTTGTCGGACTCTCCACCGCTGCTAGAATCGTAACCAGATCGAGATCTGAAATGGTAAACAATGACCATGTAAACAATGATAGCGATGAGATAACTCACGCTGAAACAAATACCGCAGTCAGTTAATAAATAATAATTCTTTGAATATAGTGAGCTAAAAAAGTCTCTAAACATGACTACAAGATTTGATTCACCCTCATCCAAATGACACGGCACTACAACTCATTACAATGGCAGGTGTTATCGGCAAAATTGACAAAGAACATAAAAAATACTCGATATTCTTAATAACAATAAGAAGTAAGAAATTAGATTGTGTCAATATCATTTCCTAAATGCTGATAATATAGCCTTGTAAGAAAATGAGCGTCTTCCTTCCTGCAACGTCGTTTATAATCACTCGCACGAATCAAAACTACGACAATACAAAAGCCAAATACGGAAGTTTTAACGAACACGTATATCTTATATCTATCCGGGAAATAACGGCTAAGACGGGAAATCACGGATGGGTGAATATCCTTCCTGCACCCGACTCTTCTTCTTTTTTGTCGCGCAACTTTTATCGTCGCCGCCCTCTCCTAATTTTGCTACCACCACTACTCGGGAAGCAATTCTGACCGCGAAAACGCCGGTTTTTTGTGGTCACGAGCGACTTGATCTTCCCTCGCTTTGCGACTTCCTGTCACGTTTTATACATAGGTAATTGGAGCGCTTCCTTATTAAGCTTTTGCATCCTTTGCATACTTCCATCCCCGATCAGAAGGTCATCCTTTACAGTTTAGCGTGACGACGCAATTGTTAGGAAAAAATAGATTAAGTGATTCAGCAAAATTATTAGCTTGCTATGCGAATTTAACATTCATAACAAAAAATATATGTTTGATGGTTTAATAAACAAATTATGTCTAAACGATTATTATTAGCAATACTAATTCAGTTCTTCTTTGCTATAATGAAAATTGTTAATGTAACAAGTTCATTACAGTAACAAAATTATGTGCCAACATAGCTAGCATGTTTTGTTAAAAATTTTAATATATTCTATATATTGGATTGATCTTCCTATAGAAAGACATCCTTGCTGTATTAACAAAGTTTGCTGCTATTATAAATATGATAACTTATAATCTATCTCTACGCTAATTTTATTCAGCTGCACAACTTTGATATTTCATAGAAAACTGTTGTTCATATATTACGGCTGTATAGATTTGCTGAATCAATGAAATCGTTCTTATTTTAACAAAGTTATTTTAACAAATCTTTTTTCCTTGCGCACATTAATTAATATAATTTATTTCACTTTATTAGAAAATTGCCAAAAATTGCCGTCCTTCATTTAAAAACAGCGATATAATTTTTTATTATTTTACGTCTAATCATCAAAATTTTTAGAAAAATCAAAGACTAGAATGTCAACTCTCTTCTTCAGAAAAGTCAGAATCTGATTTCTAGATTAATCATTGATAATTAAATCCTGAAAACCTAATTTTTACCGAATTCTGGGGCACAAAATTTTTTCGTAGAGGTAGGTCTATGCACTGTCCCGCTGAATAACAATGCATCCGAGAACAGAAGGCAATGTCGTATGCTCCTCTCAGTACGTGCCGTGCAATCTGCTCACCCTCGCTTTTTCCCCTTTCCCTCGCCCCTAACAGCTGCATATGTCAGGGAGAATCCGGGGTGAGCGACTGAGAATATAGTTAGCTTATGCAACGATAGCAACGGAGCACCCGCGGACGTATGCGTGAGCTATAAACATATGTGTGCTGCAGATGGCCTGGGGTTCCTATCGTCGCTTCATACATGCCGAGAGCCATCGATCGAAACATCCTCGCCTCTAATGAACCCCTATCTTCAATCAGGTCTACTATAAATATCACAGTAAAGAAAAATGTCATATATCGATAAAAAAAAATGCTATACTTATAAGCATACTTGCTTAGAAAATAATTGTGAGTAGAAAATAATTTTGTTTACATAGAATTAATACCTTTGTGGTTATTAATACTACTGAGTGAAAGAGTGGTGCACGTGATTTTATTGCGTACGAAATACGATGCACGACTCCAACGCGATTCATTTCAAGCTGCATGGTTGCTACGCATTCAGACGATACGAAAGATGAAGTTACGTCATCGCGAACGGTCCAACACTATGGAATGCAAACAAGCTAAAACGACACCACTCCCATTTAATTACGCTCGAAGAAAGAACCTCTCTTATAACGTTGCCCACTATGATAAACGCAGGCCTCCGTGTAATATTAATCGCGTTGAATAACACAGTGAGAAAAATTGCTGGTTGAAAATAAACGAACCAGAAAATTCTGATCATATCTCAATCAGAATTCTGATTATATCTCAACTACAATTAATAGATTCAACCAGCAAATTCTGATTTGTCCATTTTCAACCAGAATTCTAATTAATGCAATCAGTCTCTTTTTCCAGAGTAAAAACTTCGTTTTATCGAACATAACATGGACATACTGATGACAAAGCTATAGTTGTCATGCCAGTAGATTGAGAGTACAAGAGCAGCAAAGCACGAAACGATAAATTAAGATGTTAATCGCACACCTCGACTAATAATTACAGTCGATTTTTATCTGATAAGTATCGATAGCATCATACCATGCAACTTTATTAATCTACAGAAAATATCATCCCTCCGCAGGTGAACTTATGTTTACATCAATATCAAACACCTTCTCGGAAATATTTGAGAATTCGTAAAACGCATTGTAAGAAAACAAAATGGAATCGAAAAAGCATAGCAATCAGTAATTCTTGTCGGAATAATAATATTAAAAGCTGTAGTTATTTATATTTATATATGCTTTCGGAGTTTAATATAGATTTTTCCTAACTTACACTACAAATTTCCCGTAGAGTAACAAAAATTAATTTTGCGAGACAAACATAACAGATCTATTTTTTATTGCTGCATTCTTTGAACTGGTGCACATGGTGCGATAAGTTGAAATGAAATAAACGTATATTTGTTTCACTTCAACTTATTGAACTGTGTGAACTAGAGTTCATAGAGTGTGCAGTGATAAAAAACAGATCTAAAATTAGAAATAAATAAAGATAGTTTCAATCTTCACAATTTACTTTTCAGATAATCTGAGCAACGATTTTTAAGAAATAGATGTGAAGAATATCTCTAAAAGGAGAATACAACTTTTTTATGACCGTTCGGGGATCATTTTATTTCTACATTTTCTTATGTATTTTTCTTCAAAGAAACCGAAAATGATTACAATATAATGACGCTACACTTAAGGAAAAATTAGTACATTAAAATAAAGTTAATAAAATCCTTATTTACATTGTTACGAAATCGCTATCGGTTATAACAATCATTTAAAAATTAATTCAGGGAGAAAAAGTTGAATCAATAATTCTGAATTAGTTTGTAAGTGATCGAAGCATAACTGATAGATTTCAATGTGAATAAGGATTTTATTATTTAATTTAATGTATCAATTTTTCCTTATTATTATAATGAGTCATAATAATAATAATCTTTGGTTCCCAAGAATAAAGAAAAAAACATAAGAAAATGTAGAAATAAAACGATCCTCGACCGGTCGCGAAAAAGTAAAAGTTATATCTTCTCTTTATATGCTTACAAAAAAAATAACTGTGTTCCAAAATTAATTGCCAATACTTAAAATCTATAGTGCATGTGATATAAATTACAGATTTTCAGTACTGACAGTGAATTCTGAAACACAGCCAATATAGGTAAACTCTGTAAAGGGTATTAATTTTTGTTAATAAGAGCGATGGAGCCAAGAAGATCAAATTAGCACAAGAATTTCCGGTAAATTACGTAAAGGCTTGGGTCTTCGCAGAACTTATAACTGCCGCATCTTCCTTGAATTTAAATCCTTCAGGCACGTGCGATGTCTAAAAGAACTTCTTCCACATTCCTCACCATTCGTGAAAAAAAAACACCGGCTTAATCGTGGTCGATAAAATAAAACGTCCTTTACCTGGAGATAGTGAACAGATGGGATATTCCCACTTAATCAGATTCAGCTGGCAAATAAAAAGATGAAAAAAATTAGTAAACATACCTAACATGTATATCTGCATATACGATAAATAAAACTTTACGTGAGTTTTAATTGAATATATTAAATTTCTAAATACAATAAAGTAATAATAGATCTTTAAATGGAAAGACATATTATCCAAAATTTTATACAGCGCCATGTAAAATTAAATTTTATGTGACTCGAATATAATATAAAAGCTTTGTATTATGTACTATAATGTCAGATGTTGAAAAATCACTGAAACAATAAAAGCAGTTAGAAATTATAGAAATTTGCTCCTAAACGCCTAAGAAATAATCCCATATTATTCTCGAAATGAAAAAGTTAAACATACATAATAAAGGGATGACCTTCGTTGTTCAATTCAAAAATTGTCAACTAAAATATTCAGGTAAATTTATTCGGTAGCTTTTACTCGAGAGGCGATAACAAAAGCAGGTGCCGCCAACAGCTGCTTACTTATCTAGGAAAATGAACGAGTGTCTTTTGTCACCGTGCAAAAATTTCTTTAAGAACTTTTATATCTATCTTCAATATACATAAAATATACGTATAAGTAACATATGCATATTAGGATGTATACAATAGACTGGAAAAATTGACCTTCAATACAAAACAGTTAATAAACGGGCGTAAATTCATATCGGCTATTCTATATATTCAATTTACAAAGCTTATTATTTATTCGTTCGTTAATAATAAATTTGCAGATGATATAATTTATATAATCGAATAGACAGAGTTTTTCATAATTCACGTTTAACATCTTAAATACGTAGTGTGATACGGGCGTAAGATAACGATGGGGCACGGATGGACGTCGCTAAATTTCAGAGACAATAAAACGATACCGCGGGACCGGGTGATCTGACTTCTCGTGAGAACGGGAAAGAAAGCCCTGGTGCCGTGCGTGCCGAGGTATGGACATCTGCCAAAGTTCCGAACTTTCCCCTCTTTTTTTTTTCACGAGC